ATCCCATCCCCATCCCATCCCCATCCCACCCAATCCCACCTTGTCCCACCATCCCACATTGTCCCCCCCCTCCCCTCACCCACCTGTTGAGGCCCCGCACCATGTAGGACTGGAGGTCAACGGAGCTGAGGGGACAAGAGCAGGTGACCATGGGGACCAGGGGGGCTGAGACCCCCAGGTGAGACCGGGGGAACAGAGCGGGACACAGTGGGGGTGACAGAGGGGTGGGAGGTAGGGATGCCATGGGCGTGTGGAGGCACCACCACGATGTGGAGGCACCAGTGAGGATGTGGAGGCACCATGAAGATGTGCACACACCAGGAAGATGTGCACACACCACGATGTGCACACACCAGGAAGATGTGCACACACCAGGAAGATGTGCACACACCACGAAGATGTGCACACACCACAAAGATCACACACCATGATATGCACACACCAGGAAGATATGGACACACCAGGAAGATGTGCACACACCAGGAAGATGTGCACACACCATGATATGCACACACCAGGAAGATGTGCACACACCACAAAGACGTGCACACACCAGGAAGATGTGCACACACCAGGAAGATGTGCACACACCAGGAAGATGTGCACACACCAAGATGTGCACACATCACAAAGATGTGCACACACCAGGAAGATGTGCACACACCACGATGTGCACACACCACGAAGATGTGCACACACCAGGAAGATGTGCACACACCAGGAAGATGTGCACACACCACGATGTGCACACACCACAAAGATGTGCACACACCAAGATGTGCACACACCACGATGTGCACACACCAGGAAGATGTGGAGGCACCATGAGGATATGGACACACCACGAGGCCACGGGAGCCCCGTGAGGATGAGGAGGTGACACCACGAGGGACACGACACAACCCCCCCCAAATCCAAGCAGGGGCCAAAGGGGGAAGGTTCCGATTCAGGTCCCACCTGTTGAGGTCCCTCACGAGGTAGGGCTGGAGATCAGCAGAAGGTCCCCGCAGGACCAGCCCCTTGGGGGGCAGCCGCTCCCCCTGGCTGGGCTGGCGCTGCAGGTGGGGGTTGCGCAGCGCGACGCTGATGTCGGTCAGGAGCCGGGGCAGAGGGCCCAGCTTCAGCAGGGCCTCCTGGGGAGGGCAACCCAGTGTCCCCACTGCACCCCGGGACCCCCGAGACCTTCCCCTGGGGGAGGGGAGGTGGGATGGGGTCTCCATGGGCAGCCCCGAGGGGAGCTCGGGGGAGGGGAGTCCAAAAAGGTTCCCTAGGGAGGGGTGGGTGGTGGGAACCCAGTGACCCTCTGTGGTGGGACATGGGGGTGGGAAGGAGTGACCCCCTGTGGTGGGACATGGGGATGGGAACCCAGTGACCCCCTGTGGTGGGACATGGGGGTGGGAACCCAGTGACCCCCTGTGGTGGGACATGGGGTGGGAACGGAGTGACCCTCTGTGGTGGGACATGGGGATGGGAAGGAGTGACCCTCTGTGGTGGGACATGGGGATGGGAACCCAGTGACCCCCTGTGGTGGGACATGGGGGTGGGAACCCAGTGACCCCCTGTGGTGGGACATGGGGGTGGGAACCCAGTGACCCTCTGTGGTGGGACATGATGGCTGTGACCTCAACAACCTCTCGTGGTGGGACAAGCTGGGTGGGACCTCAATGATCTCCCCTGGGCAGACCAGGGGAAAACGGGACCTCAAAACCCCCTTCAAGATCACCCAGGTTTCCAGGATCCCAAACCCTCCTTTTGGGGAAGAACCTGCTTGTCCAGACCTTTGCTCACAGCCCCCCCAGAAGAAGACCCGGGTGTCCAGCAGGTACCTTGCTGAGCTGGGACATGACCTCCCAGAGCAGGGCATGCAGGGTGGAGAGCTCCCTGCCCAGGTCAATGTAGCCCTCAAAGCTGGTGCTGTTGGTCAAGGTATCCAGGTTGGAGATCTCGTAGAGGAACTGCTGCATGCTGGTCCACTCCAGCTCCAGGAACTCGTTCATGAAGGCCATGTACTCCTCCTTGCTGCCAAACCTGCGGGAAGGGGCAGGACAGGTTGTCACCTGTCCCCACTGGTCTTGGCCACCACCCTCTGGCTCTTCCAGCCCTTCAGGTTCCAGGTGTCTCTTCATGAAACCCCACGGGGACTTCATCCATCTCGGGTGGTGCTTGGTTCTCCAGTCAGATGTGCAGCATCTCATCCCTCCATCCATCCATCCCTCCATCCATCCCTCCATCCATCCCTCCATCCATCCCTCCATCCATCCCTCCATCCATCCCTCCATCCATCCCTCCATCCATCCCTCCATCCATCCCTCCATCCATCCATCC